GGGGCTCTCTAATTAGAGACCCCAATGGAGATGCTCTAACCTCTCGATTGTATATAAAACAAAGGAGTGAGATATATTTTTTTGGGAAAATTATGAAAATAGGCCAAAAACAATCAAAATTAACAAAATAGGTCATGTTTTTTTCAATTAAAAAAATAAGTTAATGTTGACATTTTTATCCTTCTTTTAATAATTAGTTATAAAGAAATAAATTCTAATTAAAAAAAAGGAAGCAATTAAACATCGCCGTTGTTCTTTTCGTGATCAGAATCTGTTTCTCGTTGCCAGAGATATTGGATACGACGACGTCCTGGCCACGCTGGTAGTGTCTCGTGATGATATTGAGAGGCTCGGGAGGGATTCGCCGATGCTTCACTTATCAATTTTTGCCATCACCTACGCTTACATGTAAACTTGCTTCGTGAAGGCGTGTGGAGGAATCAGAGAGAGATTCGTGACTTTTCTTTTCGTCGAAGATTTCAGAAAGCAATTGGGATATGCCGCATCCGATGACATACTTCGGGAATTGCATGTTTCTGGCGGGTAGCTACGGTCAAGACGTCGGAGCTTGTCGAAGGGAAGGGATTTGTAACATCGATTGAGATCCTCATCGATCTGGTTAAAGGATTGACTTCAGGAAAGGTAGAGACGTTTGCAAAGAAGTTTGCATATAGTGTCTATTGCATCGACGAGTGCACACAACAAAGAGCTTATTTGGAAAGAGTCTTTACACTTCAAGACCAAGTAATCTCACAAATTCTCACTCTCCTTCTCAATTTAAGACACTTGGAAGGTAAACAATATTATTCAAAGGTTGTAATAATAAGTGAGTATTAGCTAATAGTATTCAGTCACAGAGAGCTTGATCTTGTAACACTTGTTGGAAAAGTAGTATGCGGTAAGAGCAAGAGACTAATCTTGAAAGAGGAAAATTTAAAGACATCAAAGGCCTAACTGTAGTTTTTTTCTTTTGGAAGTTATAGTAGTTTTAGTGACATGCTTTCTTCTACGTATTAGACTAACATTGGCTTCTTATTTTCTTCTTCTACTACACTTTAGTGTTGTTTACTCTTTAGTTTCAAAATGTTTATGTCACTATAAGTTTTGCATATTGTAATTAATTTCAAAAAATTTCTGGTAACATAAGAATTTTTACCTATTTCAACAGCCAACTGATTACCATATAGCTTGATGTTCCATTGACTGCCACACGTTTTTCTTGTTTGTACTACTTATCATAAAGCCGTGACTTGAAGGGACAATGCCATCAAATGACTCTAACTTTGATCGCACCTAAGGCCAAAGGGAATAATTTAAGCCTTTAATTGGTGTTTATCGGTTTAGCAATCAAAGATAATTCAGTTCAATTACACAAAAATATAACAATTTAAATACAAATTCATGATGCTCTTGACAAAGGCTATCATTTTGTAACCTTCCATTCGGACTCGAAGACTCTAATCGGCCTTCTCAAGTCAAGCACTCCTCAAACTGAACTCAGAAGTATTCTCTCTGATATTGCATCTCTATGTTCTTTATTTATTTCTATCTCTTTTAAGTTTATTCCTCGACTGGAAAACTCTCAAGCAGATGCTTTAGCAAAAGCTGCTTTGTTATCTTTATCCTCTTCCTCTGTTTATAGAGTTTAAACGTTTGGTATTTTAATATATTCTCCTTTTTCCAACAAAAAAAGAAAAATACAAATCATGCTTGAACTTTCAAGTGAAATCATGCCGACATTTCCACGTCACTATTTTACAGATTATAAACTATGATTTGCGAGATGACTTCGAAGAGATTCTTCCTCAGGTTTTTCCAAGAATAATTTGTCTTTTTATAAGACAAACAGTTGACTTTTGCTGAATAATTGACATAAAAACAAATATATTACGAAAAAAACATGACAAGGTCTGATCTAATATAAAGCATTAACAAACATAGATAGACGTGAATTGATACATGACAAGGTTTGAAATATATTACATAAATATACTAGAATAAATAAACATGAAAGTGAAACATGACAAGGTCTGATATATTCTAAAAGCACTAAATTGCATCCTTGTTAGCACTTGTTGGGTCTTCTAGGAGAGCTTCTTTGTCTTTCTTTTTCACAACACTATTGAACAAATTTGTGATTCAATAAAACACTAGAATCATACCTTTTTTAGGATCTTTCTCTAAGCATTTCATTAGGAAATTCTTTGCATCAACACTTAGCCATGTGGGTATCTCTTAATTGATCTCGTTGTTGGAGATTACTTCCTTCAACTTTTTTATGTCATATAACCCAAGCTCACTCCATGGTCTTCTACAAGTAAACATTTCTAATACGGTGCAACCATATGCCCATATATCAGCACTGTAATCCAAAATTCCATCTTGTAAAAGCTCCGGAGACATGTATAACAATGTCCCTCGTTTCAGCCATTCACATTCTTTATACCCATATGGATATTTTTTCAATGCTAAACCAAAATCAGCAAGCTTTGGCTCAAAACGATTAGGCATAAACTTATGTTCCAGAGGTTTAAGCAACATATTACAATCTAAAAAAATTATGAAAATCATTACCATCATCGTATGATTGTGGAAAATAACATGAAGAGGATAAAGAGTTTTAGTGTTTACTAATTGAAGCTTCGTCGAGGGGATTGAGAATCGATTCAGCTAAAGAGTTAACTTCTTCGCGCTGTTCCAGATGAGCAATACTTAGACGTGGGCTAGTTTTGCATTGACGGAATATAATATTGGGATTCAAAGGATCGACATTGAAAAAATTGCTAGGTTATGGAAAGACTTTGTTTTTCTAATCACGAAAAGAACAACGACGA